ACGCCGCCACAGCAGTGACAATGACCGAGGCTGGGAGTCGCAGGGGCGGGGACCTTCAGGCCCTGGGGCACCGCACAAACTCATTTCACAGATGAGGACCCGAGGCTCAGTGAGGCCCAGTGTCGGGTGCCATCCTGTGGGGCGCCCTCCCTGGAGACCCCCAGCGTGAGGCAGTAAGACAAAATGTTCACAGGGACATTCACTGAAAGGGACGAGGACATCACCCCGGAGGGTCCAGCCACCCAGCCACCCAGAAGAGGTCTCTGCAAAGCAAGGCCAGAGGAAGGGGGAGGCTCCTTCCATTTCTCTAACACGGACAGAGGAGAGACGGGGATGAAGGGACGTCACTTCCCATGTCACATAGGAATGCACGACCAGGGACACCCCACAGCAGGTCCACCCCCAGGACTGGAAAGTGACACCTGCGTGTGCACCCGATTGCCACAGAGAGCTGGAAGAAAAAATGAGAAAAGAAAAAAAAATGTTCCTGAATGAGCATCACGGTTGCTTTCAGGTTTTAAAGCAAGAGTTTGTGGTTGCTTTTCTTTTTTCCCCCAAACTACCTGAAACGTCCCATTTGGAGACAGATGCTAGGGCCAGGCCCTGACCCCCCTGTGGGAGGTCGTGCCCCTGCAGCCAAAAGCTACCCCAAGACTCAGTTCAGACCAAACTGGGACTTTTGGATTTCCTATTGGGCTTGGCTAGACAATAGGGAGAACTGTCAGAGGCAGAGGATGGAGGGCTAACAGCGTGGGCTCTAGGGCTCGACAGCTGTGTGACTTCAGGTCTCTGTTTCTTTGTTTCTAAAATGGAAATTTCACTCATTAGTTCTATGGCCCACGCCTGTCATTCCAGTGGCTCAGGAGGCTGAGGCAGGAGGACCGCAAGTTGGAGGCCAGCCTCAGCCACTTAGCGAGATCCTGTCTCTAAGTAAGATATAAAAAGGGCTGGGGACGGGGCTCAGGGTTAAGTGTCCCTGGCTCAATCCCCAGTATAAAAAAAAAGGAGGGGGGGTGGGTGGGCCACAGGTCAGTGCCTCCCGCTGGCCCTGGAGGGACATCGAGGCTCAGGAAGCCTCCTGTGAGTGGTTGTGGTTGGGAGCGACATGTTCTGGACTCGGATCCCAGCCCTGCTGCTCACTGGGGACGCTCCGGGTGCCTCTCTGAGCCTCGGTCTCCTCATCTGGAGAGTGGGCCGACCTGCTGGGGGGCTGCGGGGGCCAGGCGGGTCTGTGGAATCGTCCACCTTGTGAGGACGTGAGGCTCTTCTCTGCCTGGGGACAGGCCCCTCCCTGCAGGGCGCAAAGTGAAGTCCCTCTGCGTTGTCACCTGAGTGAGTCTCCCTGAGCCCGCGGAGTTGTGCTCAGTGACGGAGAAGCTCATTCTAGGCCACCAACGTGGGCACGTGGGGTCCCCTGGGGACAGCTGGACACACTGTGTGTCCCCTGTGGCTCAAGGAGGGCCCACGCCAGCCTCCCAGGTGGCTGCTGCAGGAGCCCTTGGGCCTGGCAGAGCCGGCCACACCCCAGCGGGTCCTCGCCTGGCAGAGCTATGGCCCATTGTCCCAGAGGAGCAGGTGACGCAGAGCGACTGCAGGGGACCTTCAGCTTCTGCCCTGATTGTCTCCAGGGGCTGGTCACTAAGGTGTTCCCCAGCGCACTGCGGCTACTGGAGGGACGTCCCACCCACCCCTCGGGCTGCTGGCCAAGGTGACCCCGAGGCTGGGCCACTGAGCTTTTTCCTGGTCCCAGGGACTGAACCCAGGGGTGCTGACCCCTGAGCCCCGTTCCCAGCCCTTTTTCTATTTTATTTAGAGACAGGGTCTCGCTGAGTGGCTCGGGGCCTTGCCAAGCTGCTGAGGCTGGCCTCCACCTTGCGATCCTCCTGCCTCAGCCTCCTGAGACGCTGGGATTGTAACCTGTGGGCCCTCCCCAGGGCTTTCTGACACTAAGGACCTTTCAGGCGTGAGGCTCGTCTGACCACTTCATGGGCCCGATGCCCAGGACTCCTCAGCCTTGACTGTGCTCTGGGGCAGGAGGCAGGGGCTGATGGGGAGGGAGGGCGCCAGACTCAGCCCCACTCCAGACGTGGAGCCGCAGGACAGACGGAGCCTCCTCTCTCCACCAGCAAAACTCCCTGGTGTTCAGGACGACACTCCAGGGCTCCTGTCCTCTCAGGCCTGGCAAAGGGTGGGGACTTTGAAGGCAGCTGTTGTATACACATGGGGCTTTTAACCTGGAGGTCTGAACTGGCGATCCTCCTGCCTCAGCCTCTCGAGCTGCTGGGATTGCGGGTATGTGCCATGGTGCCCGGCCAGTTTGTTTTTAATTGGGAGGTTTTATATAAAAACCAAATAAGATAGAACTGAGGCCAGACATGGTGGCACATACATGTCATTCCAGTGGTTAGGGAGGCTGAGGCAGGAGGATTAAAAATTGGAGGCCAGCTTCAGCCACTTAGCGAGGCCCTAAGCAACTCAGGGAGACCCTGTCTCTAAATAAAATAGAAAAACAGCTGGGGACAGGGTTCAGGGGTGAAGCACCCCTGGGTTCCATCCCTGGTACCCCTCCAAAAATAAAAAAAAAAACCAATAAACCGAGGATGAGGCTGGAGGACAGACTCCGTTTCTCCTCCATCCTGGCCTCCACCATACCTGCTCAGCCTCCCAGGCATCTGGCCTCCCAACCCAAAGAAGAGGCCACTGACAGGAAACCCCGAGGGCCCTTTGCCTGTCCCCAGCCTGCCCTGCTGAGCCAGCGCTGGGGCCACCGGTGCCCGAGCCTCTCCTGGCTCCTCCCAGTCCGGAGGCCGCAGCTGCAGCACCTGGACTCCGCGCCCCACTTTCCAGCCTGCGGCTCCCCCGCCCTCCCTCCCTCCGTCACCTGGCACCGGGTGGCTCCGGCTTCCTGAGGATTCTTTCCCAATTAAGGCGCCTCCAACCAGGTCAGAAGGAGGATGGGGCTGGGGGTGGAGGCTGGGGCTGGGGGTGGAGGCTGGTGGCAGGAGGAATCCAGAGTGATATTAACAAAGAGCTCGGGGCCACCCAAGGCCACACGCTGCAGGGGCAGCTGCCTGGGAGGAATGTGCGCTCCAGAGCTGTCCCTGCGCGCCCCGTCCCCGCCCCAGCTCCCAGGGAGGTGCGGAGGGGTCTCAGGCAGAGAGCCACCCACCCTCATGGGGACAGCTCTGTCCCCAGCTCCCACCCAAGCCCACAGAGGCCCAGGGCTGGGAGCCAGGGGTGACCGTGGAATGCATGGACCTGCTCCGTGTCTGTGGCTGTCCCTGTCTGGGAGCTGGATCTCACTGTTGCTGGGACGGCCTTGAGCTTCAGGGTGTGAGTGGTCCCCTGGCCTCAGTGGGGACAACAGGCAGACCCAGCACATCCGGGCTTTTGTTCTCTATTTTTAACATTGAATAACATAAATTTCACTTGGGGGGATAAAACACTGGGTGGCCCACGCTTGTCACCCCAGCAGCTCAGGAGGCTGAGGCAGGAGGACCACAAGTTGGAGGCCAGCCTCAGCCACTCAGCGAGATCCTGTGTCTCAATAAAGAGACAAAAAGGGCTGGGGACGGGGCTCAGGGGTTAGCGCCCGGGGGTTCCATCTTTGGTACCAAAAATCAAAACAAAGGACCAGGGGGCTCACTGGACATTCAGGTGAAGGGCCCTTTGGTCACTCCCATGCCATCGAGAGCTGTGGTGCCACCCCCTGCAGCCATGGCCACCAGGGCTCTCCTGCCTCAAACAACCCCCAGCCCTCAACACACCGAGCCCACTGTCCCCTCTGGACCCATGAGCTGGCTCCGCTGTCCACAGAACGTCCTTTCCCAGGCGGTCCCCGCGGCTCCGCCCTCCGCGCGGCTCCGCCCTCCGCGCGGCTCCGCCCTCCGCGCGGCTCCGCCCTCCGCGCGGCTCCGCCCTCCGCGCGGCTCCG